TAGTGAGCGGTCGGATGCCTCGGGAGATGACTTAGCTCCCTTATATGCCCTACGCCGGTTCCCCGAGCGTGTAGAAGTGTTGGTATTCTCGGTATTGTTTCATGTTACTCGCGTAGGTTCGCAGTCGACTGTGTCGTCACTGCGCGCTCTGGTGGTCGTCTGGGCCCGAGCACTGTGCGAGTAACGGTACACTCTGTGTCCGTTACAACCTCCAATACCATGACTACCCAAATTATCTCCTAGTATTACAATTAAATTGACTTTAATAAGTTGGCCTCTTACATATATTCCGGTCTGTTCCAAATCTTTTAGTTCTGAAATTAATGGTTCAAGCACTTTATTAAGACCAAAATACCTAACATCAACTTCTTTACATAATAAAACCATCTGCATGTGGTCAGTACTGGTTCGACACCAAGGATGTAAATTAGCAATTGTATAGTAGAAGTTATGGAGTTTAAATTTTCCTTTAGCAGATCCCAAAGGATTAGCTAAATTAATTTCATCTTGGTAAAGGATAAGTTGTATTGCTGTTGGATCTTTGGTAAATATAGGATGATTTTGAAAAAGAGATCCATCATATATATCTTCAATTACATTTAGTGAAGGAGAATAGTTTTGTCTATTTGTGTACTGCTCAAACACAGAATCAAATTTAAATAAATTTTCTAACGATGATTTTATCGGTATGTAATGATATTGACAAGGTTTATTACTTCCATTTAAACCCAGATTGTATCCTATAGGTTTAATATAGGGAAAAAGACGCGTGTACTCTTTTCTCCTTTTAAAATCTGAACCCATTTTTCCTTTTGAACAGTGTAAATCTATTAAAGGATGTTGCTGCATAAAGGTACGGTTTCCCTGCAGCGTCCAGACGCGGCGTCCGGACGCGGCGTCTGACGCCGAGACCCTAGATTATGTATTTTGTGTGTGACTGGTTTCGCTACTCGCGTTTGACGCGGCGCGTCTATTCGTTTGACGCGGCGTCCGGCGTCAGTACCGGTCCGGACCAGTGTTGCGTCAAGACGCCCAGCGTCAACATGTCGAAAAAATTTTCATTTTCCTCGACAGAGGACGAAGCCTTGATTACACTCGTGGAAAATAATAAATGTATTTACGATAGTAGCCATAAACATCACAAAGACAATTATATTAAGGATAATATTTGGAAAAATATATCCGAAGAAGTAGGAAGATCAAGTACGTATATTGAAAATATAATTCTTAAATATTTATAACTTATAGTAGTAACTACCATACGAACTTTATTTTAATATTAATTATTTATTCATTGTCCTCCCTCCACCTATTGTTTAGTCGATGACTGTAAAAAACGCTGGAAGAATATTCGAGACACGTACTTGAAGCAGAAAAAGAAGCTTCCGACAGGATCAGCAGCTCCACATAAAAAAACCCGATATACAATGAATTTATCATTTTTGGACACCGTTGAATACGAAAGAAGGTATGCTCATACTTAAAAGTTATATTATGATATAAAGTTGATTCATAATAATATTTAAAATTATATAAAATATAACAACTAATAATATAAATGTATTATCATAACATTATAGTTAATATTATATTTGAATTATTTTGTCTTCAGTACTATAACAAATATGGGCATAAATGATGCTGATACGTCAAATGCATCTACTACAGACGAAATTGAACCTGAAGATCAACAAATCATACAAAACGACGAAGAACAAACAGAAAATATTATGTCCGATTTGCCATCAAGTTCATATGCAGGAAAACGTGTTCGGTCAAAAGACGATAAGATTTCTGTTATTTTAGCCAAACGATCAAAGGAAACGAAGGATACCATACTATGCATTCAATAACAAAATAAACTGTTGGCTACAAGCATGAAAAACCTGTGTGAAGAGGATGAAATTGATGTATTTTTCAAAAGTGTCGCAATGACGGTTAAAAAAATGCCACAGCAAGCGATCAAAGAAGCTAAACTTAAGATACTTACGTTGATCACTGAAATAGATGACAAATATTCAACTCGTCAAACACTACCGTATCAAATACCACCAGATTATAACAATATGTACCAATGTCAACTGAGTTCACCAGCCAGTTCATACAGTACCTCAACATCAACATCACAAGGGTTTTTGGCGTTCAATTATGGTGACGAGTCTAATGGTTAACATTTGCAATTTTTTTTTTAATTTTAAATAGTTGGTGCTTATAATAAGTTTATTTATATAAAGAAGATAACAGTTCCTTTTTATTTACTTTTGTTATATTTTAAAATTCACTTGTTTTTATTCAATATTGTTTGTTGATTTTATTTAGAAACAATAAATTAACCAAAAGGCTGGTTTAAATTAAAATATATTTTGTTGTTATTTTAAAGAAGTTATATTACTACTATAAGGTACTTATTTATAGATTATTTTGTAGCTCTGTGGTATATTCGTTATCGCGATTATATCGTTTGAAATAATCAAATATAAATACGTCTATTAATATAAAAATGAGAATTAACATCAAACGAAATAGTATATTATATTTAGTATATTATGTAGAAATTAGAATCATGAATAATAATAATAAAACACATTTTTCGTGGGTCAACACAAACATATTTATTACAAGTGCCAAGTAATAATAACAATGACAATATAAAATATAACATGGGTGAATAATAATACTATGAAACTATAAATTAAATTTCATGTTTGCCATGTTGTAGCTCCTTCGTTAACAAAGTACTCTTTAAAAATGTCTCTCACCGCGACGCCTTCTGTACTTAAAAATCCACTTTCTTTGGCCAAAGACGTCATGTTAGCATTAAGAGGTTCTTCTGAATCCAATTGATAAAATACCTTTCCATTGTTTTCTAAATATGCGTCTCGTAACATATTATGTAAACAACATGCTACGATTATCAAGTCATCACACGTTGTTGTATTTATATTAATGGGTTGAAAAAATACTCTGAATACTTTACTTAATAGTCCGAAAGCATTCTCCGTAACTCGTCGAGCACGGCTGAGTCGATAATTGAATATTGTTTTTTTACTGTCTCCTTTTGCTGACTTTTGCGAAAAGGGTCTTAAAATATGTTTGTGCAGTCTGAAAGCCTGATCACCAAGTATGACGTGTGGAACTTTTATGTCAGTACCAGGAAGTGCACAATCCGCAGGGATTCCAAATGTACAATTCAATATTTGTTGCCCCATATTGGATTTCAAAAAAATTCCACTATCCCCTTCTCTCCCAAACGATCCAACATCAATAGCTATAAATTTATAGTTTGCGTCCACCATAGCCAACAAAACGACAGAAATATATTCTTTATAATTAAAAAATAAAGAACCTGAATTACTTGGACATTGGATTCTAACGTGCTTTCCGTCAATAGCGAGTATACAATTAGGAAAGTTCCACTTCTGATAAAATTCATCTGCTTTAGTCTTGAAGTCAACTTTACATGGGTCAGGCAAAAATAGTGGCATTAATTTTTGTTTCAAAATTGCTAAAGTTTCTCTCACTATAATGCTAATATAACTGTGGGAAATACGAAAAGAAAATGCCAAAGATCGGAAGGATTCTCCTGTTGCTAGAAACCTAAAAAAAAAAATAAAAATAAATCGTAATAAATAACTGGTTAACTTATGAAAATAACCAAGGTTAATCCTAATTAAACTGATTAAATTTTTTTTTTAATATAATTTTTTTATAAAAATAATTAATATTTAAATATTTTAGTTTCTGAGCATGAATGTAATAAGGTATTGTATCTGTCATCTCCACTTGGGGCATTAATTTACGATTTTAGTAATTTTTTTGTTACTTAATAATATTATTCATAGGTCTTAAAAAGTGTTTAAGTATTATGATATATTTAATACACAGAATTCAAATGTACTACTGTCATCTACTACTTATAGGATTGTAAAATATATTTATATTTCTATTATTATATTTCTATTAAAAATAAATATCAAACTTTACCTCAAAGTAAGTGCTAGTTTTTCCTCTGGAGATATTGGCTCAGGTACACGTAATGTCGGTTTCTTTGTTATTTCTTCTTGAACCAAAGATAAAATAAAATTGAACTGTTTACGATTTAGACGAAGAAATTCCCGAAATTTTTCATCGTCGTTAATAAGATGTTCACCAATCAAATTTTTAAAGAATCCTTCAGAGTTCCTCGTGGAAAACAAACTGTTAAAAGGTTTTCTTTTTTTTGGAATTATGTTCATAAGTAACTCATTTTCCATTTCTTCATCACGAAGTAACAACTCACAAATAATATTATTATTATTAATAATACTGCTCAAAATTAAATTTTGATTCATTTTGAAAAATTAAAAAATCAGAACTTATAAGTGGAAACTACGTGCGGAAGAGACAACGGTCGCAGTGGTTATGATTTAATTTTGTAAAATTAAACTAAAAGAGTGGGATAAAATAATAAAATCTATGGCGTCCGACGCTGCAGAGAAAACAGGGTAAACGCTGCGTCGAGACGACGCGTCAAGACGCCGCGTTCTGTCGCGTCTAGACGCCGAGTCTGGACGCTTCAGGGAAACCGTACCTTAACCATTTTTATTATAGGTTCAATGTCTGTCTTATTATATTCCTTGTCATAAAATGCACTTATCATTTTTTCTTCCACCAGCTGATTGGACTCATTAATCAGAACACGATATTTTTCGATTATAAACTGCAGCGTTGAGTTTGGTACATTGTGCTTCGAATATAAGACCAGATATAGATGGGCAAAAGCTGTAAGTAATTCTTCTTCTTTGATTGTACTTATGTCTACATTATCATCATCCAAAATCATAGGTTCAGTACTAGATACAGGGGCCGAAGGTTGATCATTAAAAGAATTTACTTTTTCTAAATTAGTTTTTCGGTGGTTTCGAAAGACATGGGAACGAAGTGTGGATTTATTTTCGGTACAGTAATTACAATTGTAATGAGTACATTGAAACATTTTACTACTCTGGTTATTATCTTCATCTTCTTCGGTATCACTATTCATAGATTCTTTATTGTGAACTTGTGAAATATGAGTTTCTAATCTGTTCAAAGTGGAAAAAGTTACTGGGCAGTCTTGAAAACCACAATGTACACTGGGCACCCGTTTAACATTGTGATGGAGTAAAACATGATTGAATAATTCTTTTCCTGAAGAAGTACAATATAAACAATGCTTGCAGGTCAACTCCATTATTAACTCTTATTGATGGTTTTGAACAACAAACTAGACAATATTAAAATGAATTATTTACTGTTAGGTTTATAATAAATACCCAATAATAATCAAAATATAGGTATAAGCACATATTATAACTTACATAGTTACATTGCTTACATTTTTATGAAATACATAATTAACAAATTATACTAGTAGGATATGAAATATCAACAAGCTTTACTACAATTTAAACAATACCTACTTAATAAATTGTTTAGTTTTTAACATAATATAACTCATAACAATAATAACTAGGGTTTATCTTATTTTAGTTTTACTGTTCATAAATAGGTATAATAATATATATAAATTATATATGTAGGTACAGATGTACTGTATATTATGTAGGTACCTATGTACTGTATATTATGTAGGTACCTATGTAGAAGTTTTTAAGAAATATTTAACAATTTATTAGGTAGGTACCTATGTGACTAAAATTAAAAATTAATTTTCTTTAATGTAAATCCATTAGCTTAATAATTATTTTTATATTACTATGTTTATACAATATCATACCACAAAAACTATTTGCAATGTATTCTGAAATTGATATAGGGAAAAGACACCAGTGAATGCCACTACCTACCTAATATAATATGTATTAATTGATCCTTACACAAAAATATCCGTTACCTATACAACTTTTTTTTCTAATAGATACCTTGGTAGAGGAGTATTGTACATTGGGGCCATTTTTATTAATTATCCCCCAACAGCTCTAATTGTTAATATTTCACGTTAATGCATATTAAAAATAATGTAGATAGGTATAATAAATCTATATCTATAAACAAACCATAAATCAATTAGGTACATATAATATAATCAGACACAAAATAGTTTTAGGAACCTACCTATTTAAAAAAAAAATAAAAATATGGTCAAAGGTGTTATGATGTACCTACCTTGGTATTTACATTGAAATATATTATATAGAAATGGCACCACCTTAAGAACTTCTATCACAAATTTAAATGTTGAAAATTAAATTTAAAAAAACCATAAATCGTTATTTAGATAGGCGAAATTAAATTTTTTTACTATAAATGTATGAGTGATTTTATTGTTCTGATATATTTAAATGTTGTAGAACTAGCAAATATAATTTCTAAAATTTCTTCCACAAATTAATTCTTTACCAATTATTAAGGAAGAAATAAGCACCAAGATACATGCGGCCGAAGGTACAACACTCTTCCCTTTCCTCTATTGATTTGATGATGAAAAGTTCAAAATGTTTAACATTTGATCTTTGGATAGAGAAGCAAATAACTTTTATTTAAGATAAATTAATATAATAGATATAGGTACCTATGACTGCAACTTTGTTTTTAGAATGTTAACATAATAACACTAAACACTTAACGTTTGATGCAAAATGTTGCTTAAACTGGCATCCACTGCAGGGCTTTACCTTGATCTATCGATTCTAATATTCTATCGTGTTTTATGCATTAAGTAATAGTAATAGTAATACCTTAATGTTTTTTTTCTAAGCCAAATGAAGAATTAGAAAATTATAATAATAAAATAAACATATGTTCGAGTTTTATACTTACATCCTGCATTTGTCTGGTCGTCTGGATATTATGGAAATATGTAATGACTAAAAGACGTAATATTATAGTTTATATAAACGATTTATATAAAAATATAACGTCAACGGCGTACGCGTAGGTACATCAAAGATTCGGAATCACAGTATTACACCACTACACACTACACAGGCATAGTCACCAGAGAACAGGCAACAGTAACTGTAACGCACAGACTAATAAAATATAATGATCGTAATTAATCGAGTATCAACGACTATCGGTCGTTATTATTATCATCACGCAAACCCGCATTACCCGAAATCGGAAATAATATACTAAAATAATACGTACCTATGACTGGCGGGCGGCAGGGCGCGCTATCTTTGCAACATTGCATACGGGTTGTACACACAAATATTAGGTAATTATAGCCAATAGGTATGCTATTATTATTTATTATTATTATCACCAAATAATAATAATTGTAAACATCATTTCGGGAAAAATATAAATACCTACACTAAAAGCAGCCTAATAAAAATCCGAATTATATAATAATTTGGTTAAATGTTACGATTGTTACGTGTATATAAATCGAAATCCCAAGTGGTCAAGTGTGTCAAAATACTCAAAATCTTAAGTAAATAAAAAGACTAATAGTCAATAGACTCTACAACACAATATTATGTAGATATAAGATTTATCTACTGCATAATCGTATCAATTGTCGACTAATTGTCCTATGGCTTACTTGTATTAATATTTTCACATTTCAATGCAATTTTTAAAATCATTGATGAAAATTGAAAACATAAAAAACATTGTAGAACACTATTATTAGTAGAAAAAATGCTCCTATATTCCACTTTGACTGAGCCACCAAGGTTTCTGGTAGCAAATAAGATCAAAAATAATTTGGGAAGTCATAGTAGACATTTCTTAGTACTTTTTAAAATAATTAGGTATACCTACCCGTCATGTTAGGTACTTACATGTTTAACTTTAAATTTTAATTGAACTCAAAAAATAATTAACTGAAAAAGATCATAATAATAAAATTAAAATAATAATATTATTATCTAGAGCGAAATATTATTTATTTAACAATAGTACTAATGTACTAATAAATTAGCATTAAACTATTTAAATAATAAAGTATAATCATGTAAGTATAATAATGACTAATGTATAGTTGGTAGTAATTTTAAATATTATGTTGATTAATAAATAATAATATTATAAGACATTTTGATGTGTTGGCGTGTTGCATAGTCGCCAGTCTTGGGTAAAATACTTTTTAAAAGTACTCGACAACTTATGGACAATATTTAAATATATACCTAATATATTGTTGGTAAATTAAAATTATAGTATACTTAACCATAGCAATTTATAATTTACAATATTATATAATAATAATTATCTTCTATGAATAATGTTAATTATATTATCAAAACATATCATCTTTCATCAGGATAGACACAGTTAAAAACAATACATACTTAATTAGGAATGTAAAAAGTATTTATTTAAATCCCGATTTAAACAAAATTTTAAATATTTTTAAATTAAATGTTTGTTACATTTTAGCATTAATGTTTTTTCGAAGTTTTCATCTGTCATTCTTCCTCTTTTTTTAGATAATACGGCACTACCAACACTAAAGATACACTCTACAGCTGCACTGTACTTGGTAGTGGTGTGTTGAACTTTACAAATACTTTTCTTATTGTTGGAGTTTCAATTAAAGAATCTAAACCTTTAGTTGGACTTTTGGTTAAAAAATTTGATATTTCCTTTTCCAAAGGTAGAGTTAATTTCGATTTATTTGTACCGTCACTGTCTGATGATTCATATTCCGATAAATGTTGTTGTTCAAACATTTCCAAGCAAGATTGCTTAAAAAATGATAAAGCTGTATCTTCTTTATCACTATTGTTAAGCCAAGCTGTTTTGAAATATGGATGTGAAAGTGTAGCAGACAATAAAAATGGATCACTGGGCTGTTTATTAAAACGTTTTTCTACACTATTCTTAAGCACAGTAACCAAAAAATTAATTTTTTTCCAGATAGAATATCATCAAATTTTTGTTTGAGTGACCAAAATACATATGTTTTTCCCCTTGTAATACTACCCAACTACCCAACACTGATGGTATACCGCATAGGTAGGTACCTATACTTGCATACAAACTACAAAGTTTACCTATATAATGTTTAATGGGTAGTTAAAATAGTTTAATGAAACTGAATAAATGTAAAATATTAGGTACTACTATTTGATGTCTATAAAGACTAAATTACCATCTATAAGGCACTAAATGTTTTGATATGAATCTATGCATGGAGACTCCAAACATATTTTAAAAAATTACATACAAAAATCAAAAAAAAATCAATTAAACAAATAAATGTAATATGTATTAATGAATTATTATTTTCTAATGAATATTCTTAATAGTCACTGGATAA